GCCTATCGATCTCACGCTCCAGTTTTCCCTCACTCGTGAACAAGACCCCGAGATACTTAAACTCCTCCACTTGGGGCAGGACCTCATCCCTGACCCGGAGAAGGCACTCTACCCTTTTCTGCGTGCTACGCTTACCTAAGGGATTTATTTTCAGCAGTAAAGAAACGTCTGAGCTCCGTCTGTTTCCTTTGAGCTCGTAGGGATCTACGATGTCAACTGTAGACAGTTTCTGAAAATACCGATCTCTATCCTCCTTCACAAGTCTATCCCTGTAAGGGACGCGTTCATCCTTGTTCTTTTATCCATCCTTTCGACTCTTGTTCTGCTCCAACTTCAGCTGCAGCTGACCCTAGCAACGCGAGTCATTCGCCTGAAATGGTGCCAAGGGGGTGTGGTTGGCATGCAGGTCAATTCAAATTCAAATCAATTCAAAAATACTTTATTAATCCCAGAGGGAAATTCAGTTGTTTCAGTACACACAGTTCCAAGATCAGACATACATACATAGACACATGACAAGAATTGGTAACTGTGGTCATTCGCAACCCGAGTCGCGCTACCGTAATAGATCACGAGGGTTTATATGAGGATAGAGTCAGGGGGAGGGGAAAAAAGGCACTTCAGAGTTAACCTCAACAGGGAGGGCAGCTTTGAAATGCAAAAAAACACCTCAGACAGATATGCAAACAGACTTCAGACATCACACAACATAAGTGTCCACTAGGTGGGGAGGTAGGGTTGGGACTCTCCTCACTTCAGTGCGTGCAGCCGCATGGAGCAGCGCTCATCACCTTCTTTGGACAGGGGAGGGAGATAATGGGTTAGAGGGCACATTGACTCCTAGATACGGTTCCATGGCCTTCACCGGTCACAGTCCTGGCCAGGCTGGGATAGGGAGAAATAGTTTCCATAGCGACGGCAGCATTCCACATTTCTTCTGAGGGGGGAGTTTTTACTTCAGCCTAACAGGCTTCAAGGGCACCAGATTCAGATAACAAGAAATGTTTTGGGTACAGACAGAGATAATTTCCTCTCTGCCTTAGAGTTCTGTCGGTCTTCAACCCCTCAAGATCTAATAATGGCGTTATCAAACTATTCCGTACTGATTTGTCAACTCTCTCCTTGATGGAATCCACCTTCTGTGCCAGAGCCTGAATCTCAGCCAAAGGTCCAAGCTTACGACTCATCTCGACAATTATATGAGTTTGTGAGTTTACAGCACGATGCATTCCATCCCTGAACTCCGGGATTGAGCCAATATTCCTCGAAAGTTTGTTAATTTTCCGGTACGCCAGATAACCGCTCATGCCAAACAGCAGGAATCCCGACACCAAAACCACAAATATCCAGACATCTTCAGAATCCTCTACAGGCAGCTGAGAGAGGCAGATCAGGTTCCACTGTCTCCAGGAGTCCATGATATGCCCAGCTGGCTCTGTCCCAGAGGGGCAACTGGGAGCCCCTTCTCCCGTTCTCATCGTTGAAAAGATTTTGTCAATCGCGTTGAGAGACCAACTGACCAGATCCATGTTCAATAATTTCCAGTTTCCATAAAAAATGCAGAAAGCGCCGTGCACACAACGACAGGACAGCTCGCCTTGGGGGGAGCAGGGACGAGAGGAGAAAAAAGCGTCTGTACTCTCCAAGAGCCGGAAGAGGCTGTCAGTCTTTGTCACGTGTCTGACAAGAACTGACTCTTTAAAAAAAATGTATTATCTAAGTTGAGTTTATTCTTAATACAATAACAACTACTGAGGTGTTTACCTGCTGCACTTTAAGGAAAGCAGCTACGAGAACAAGATGGGTTTTAAAAATCTGCAAAGGGAGAATAAAGTACGCATCCCATCATATCATACCTTCTTGTGTCGTGTTCAATCACATTGTAATTTTAACAATGTTGCACTTTAACCTCCTGAGACCCGAGTTTGTATTTGGTGTTATGTAAAATTTAATTAAATACAAATATTGACAAATTTACAAATAAAGAAAAAGGGAAACTTGGTCAACATAAAGCGTCTCTAAATAATAACAAAATTAAGTTGAAGAGAATTAAATATTATAATGTAGTATATGTGGACACAGTGTCTCAGGAGGTTAACTACAGTGGCCCATAAGGTTCAGTGAAATACAAAAGCGACAGTACTGCAACACAACACAGTAGAAGCTCAGGCGGTAGACGGGTGTCCCAGTAATCAGGAGGCGGAAGGTCCAATCCCAGCTCTCACCAGAGAAACCAGTCTAGCCTGCTGCTGGAGGTCCGAGGGACAGGCGGTGCCAGTGTTCTTCAGGCCTCGCCTCTGTCAGTGCACCCCAGGGCGTCGTAGCTCATCACCACCAGCGTGTGAATGACTGACTGTGTTGTAAAGCACCTTGGGGGGTTGTAGAACCCTAAGGCCATTTAACGTGTAATTTTCTTTTTTTCATTTATATAATCTAATCACCAAATGTGAGTGTTTTGCATCCCATCAGAGATTATAATCTGATTGTAAGATTTCCTTCCTAATTTTCTGGTTTTTTTTTGTTTGCTTGACTCCAGATGATTGACCTGGGCCTTCTCCTCCATCCTGGCTCTTATTTCCGGGACTTGTGGAACATTCTCGACTTCATCGTGGTCAGCGGAGCTCTGGTGGCGTTTGCCTGCTCGTAAGTCGGTTTTGCCTTCAGTTCTTTGTTACTTGCTGGTCCCAGTCAGCGCTAACCATGGAACACGGTTTGTTTTAAGGTTAGAACGGTTTGGGGCTAGGGTTGGCTTTGTGTGACTTACATGTTCCTGTCCTCTTTTCTCCTCGCTGCTTCTCGTTGTCTTTTATCTGTTGCTGAGTCTCCCTTTTGTCCTCCTTTTTTCTGTCTCCTTGCTGGGATTGCTTTCAGGAGCCTTATGGGGTAATGTCTGCTCTTTCTGCTTATCGCTTCACTTTCTTTCCGTACACGTCCTCTGTGTTCCTGGGCATCCATCGGCCCGTGTCGTTTGAGTTTCCTGTCTGATCGGCCTTTCTCTCGCAGCTAAATGTTATTTTGTCACTGGCTGTTCTTATCGCTCCAGCCAGAGCTGTGATTGAAGAGACTGGCATTTACTCTGTTTATGTGACATGACTGGTTCCATAGGTGCCATTACCTGCTTTACCAGAGTCAGGTTTTGTGTTCACATTGAGTGTTTATCACAATCATCGTTTGGCAGCACAGGAACCGAGGAGAAGTTTATAAAAATATCAACTCTATTTTTCTGCATGTTGCTTTTGTCCAAGCAGCTTACAGACGAAGCTGACATGCTTTCAGTCCGTAGGAAACAACCGCAGCACTCAGAGAAAACCCACGCGTGCTTTGGGGGAGACATGCTAACTCCACTCAGGAAGGCTGCAGCTGGGATTCAAACCTGCAACCTGATTGCTGCTAGGCAACAGTGCTACCAATTGTTCCACCATGCAGCAACATTTAAATGTGAATCTTAAGTATTCCACAAACCAAGTAAACAGAGTGAATGACAGCCCTGTTACTATTTTTAGACCCTCTCTCCTTTTTATTGGTTTGTGCAGATGACTGAGATTTGTTTATTTAGGGATTATGAGATTAAAAAAATCCACATTCACTTTCTGTCCTTCTTACAGAACACAAAAGTATTCAAAATTCAATAAATAAATAAATAAGACATTATGAAATAAATAACTACATGAAGAAATACTGGGCAGTCATGTAATCTAACAATGAAATGATGAAATAACCGAATGTTATGTAAAATCTAAGCTCAATGTTATGAACTATTTTCATTCTCCTTTTAAAATGTCTTTATTCATATAAAGTTTTTTCTAAAGTCATTTTTTCATAATAACCCAAATTAATATTGAGCCATTTTTGTTTAAATCATTCAGTTTTTATTACATAACGTCTTTTAAACAAAGACAGCTTTTATTTCATAATAGTGTTTTTTCCCATGGCTGATTTATTTCATAATGAGACTTTACAGCAGAACGTCTCAGTCCGTCAGTCAAGCCAGTGGGCGTGGCCTGCAACACCATTGGTTAATCCTTCCACATCGTTTGGTTTTCCTGGATTTCTGCTCACCGTGCATGACCGGACAGTTTAAGGTAGTTGTAACACCTTCCTAGGCCAGAGGTCATGAAAGATGGCGGCGTTGCCTGAACTTAGTTTAGCTCTGTTTTCTTTGGCGGGTCAAATAAAGTTGAATAGTTTGTCCGTAGACGATATTTTGAGTTGTTTGGATGACATTTTTGCAGCATTTGGTTTGATACTTTGTGAGTGATTGCTTTTGTCTGACTGAATTAGCAGCCAATGACACACTGGCTCCGCCCCGTTAGTGTTGACTGACGGACTGAGACGTTCTGCTGTAAAGTCTCATTATGAAATAAATCAGCCATGGGAAAAAATACTATTATGAAATAAAAGCTGTCTTTGTTTAAAAGACTTTATGTAATAAAAACTGAATGATTTAAATAAAAATGACTCAATATTAATTTGGGATATTTTGAAAAAAATGGCTTTAGAAAAAACTTTATATGAATAAAGACATTTTAAAAGGAGAATGAAAATATTTCATAACATTGAGCTTCGATTTTACACAACATTCTGTTATTTCATCATTTCATTGTCAGATGACATGATTGTCTAGTATTTCTTCATGTAGTTGTTTATTTCATAATGTCTTATTTATTTATTGAATTTTGAATACTTTTGTGTTCCATACCTTCTTACCTCTTCACGCTCACACCGGTCTGAGTGAAATCCCGGTGAACAGACCATGAATCGTGTTTGATCTACTTCTTTTTGCTTTGTTTATGTTTCTTTTTTTATCTTAACTGTGACTTTTTTTTATGTGTTTTTGTTATAAGTATGCCGATAATGTCGCATTTACTTCTTGCCTGTCTGATTTCTGCTTTTAACGCCTTCTTTCTTTCAATGCTGGTGTTTCTTCTGTGTTGTCTGCCTGCTTATCGTTTCTTTTCCTCGTCAGATCTCAACAAAGCGTGGCCAGGTGGGAACTGTCCCTCTCTTCCTTCTCCTTCTTGACCCACCTCCCTATCAACACCATTTCCTTATTTAAAACACAGAACTCTCCTAAGAACCCTTTCCACCAGAGTGCTTGCCGTATAATACCCTTTCTTCCTCGCTCTCTTATTTTTTATCCTTCTGTGCCAATATTGGAGACCTCAGAGCTGAAGACAATATTGGGAACTCTGTCTAATAGCTTTCAGAAGGTTAGGCTGATGATGGTGTTTAATCTTCTCACGGCTCAGATTATCAGTGACGATAACGCTGAAGTTTCAACCCCAACAATCACAGATCAAAGAGGTTTATTGGGCCACTTTGTAAAGAGATTATAGCTTTTTCCTCCTTGGACTCCACCGACACCTCCCTTGTTCGGTGGGCTTAGCGGAAATTCGATAACAGATCCGTTTCTCCAACTTAAACTGGAATTTTTTAAATTGAAAGCTGTGTTCCTCGTAGGCTGTGGTGCCCAAGCGTGGTCCTCCTGGGCCACCGTCCAGCATGTTTTAGAGGTTTTTCTGCTCCAACTTTTTAATCGATGGGTGTTGGTGCAGTAAAACAACTAAAACATGCTGGACAGTGGCCCCGGAGGACCCAGTGTTGGACACCACTCTCAGTCTTTGTTACATTTTTAATATAAACACAGATTTATTGTTGCAAATGATCCAATATCAATCAATCAATCAATCAATCAACCAACCAACCAACCAACCAACCAATCAATCAATCAATAAATCAATCAATCAATCAATCAATCAATCAGCCAATCAATCAAATGTATTTATTAAGCGCTTTTCAAACAAAGTGCTTTACAAAATGACCCGATTCCCATAACAGGTTAAAAACATTAACACACACACACACACACACACACACACGCACGCACGCACGCACGCATGCGCGCACGCACGCGCGCACGCACGCACGCACTCACACACACACACACACACACACACACACACACACACACACACACACAGTAAAAATTTATATTTGGCTGAGTCCAGATGAGCCAAGTAAGGTAAGGCAAGGAAACGCCATCAGAGGAGCCGTCTGCCCCGGCAGCATCAGGTCTTCCACACTAAGTCAGGGCGCTCAGAGGAGGGTGAGCATAGACCCCCACCTCTACTTAAACTCTACCTGTAGAGCGCCCAGGAAGCTACAGTCGACCACCGCTCCCGGGGCAGAGGGCCCCTACAGAGGAAACACTGAATTAAAATGAGTAAAAATATAATAAAAGAGCTAATATAAGGGACAACATTTAAAAAATAAACAAAATAATGAAACTTATTTAAAAATCGTGCTTTCGCTGACACTGATCCCTGCTGGTAAAGAAGTCTTCCATGAAAGGAGCTTCTGATCTATCCTCCTGAAGTCGACCTCGTTGAGCGCGTTCATTCCAGGCACTTCTGAAAGCTACTGGACGACTGTTGTTGCCGTCGGAGTGCTGTGAGGGTCCTCGAACAGCAGGACCAGATGAGACTCTACAGAGTGCATGTCAGCGTATTCAAGTTATCCAAGCATGAGAGCTGCATGTTGTTTTCTTGGAATTTCTCACTGTAAACAAAAATGCCTCAGGCCGATACATTTGGAACCACATTTATTTAGATTTTCCTAGATGTACATAAAAACAAGTTCTGTGGTCTTTGTCGCCCAGTAAAGACATTTGAGTCATTTTTAAGTGTCGTTCAATAAGTAATCGACCACTAACAAATGGACCTGCAAGCGACGTCACTCAAAGTGGTCAGAGTCTCTAGAAACAGGAGGAAGTATTCTGAATACCGGTGGCAAGATTTTTAGCAAATTTGTGGCTAATTTCAGGTGTTTAAAGATGCCACATCACGGAAAATTGACCGTGTGATATTATTTCCTCATGAAAAATACCCCCAAACGCATTATGGCTGCATTCGTGCATTTTCCTGTCTCAGCTGCAAGTTGTCAGAGTGGAAGAGCGGCGGTCCGGCGAGACCGACAACCGGATGGTCCAATGGTTGCTTTTGGTCTAAAAGGCGTTAGTGACAGAGGTTTTTAGACAAATGCAAGAGAACCACCTTGTTCATTTTTTCCTCCACACTATATTTATATACTATGTTAGAACATTGTTAACACTAGAACTCACAGAATTCCAACTTCACTAGAATTCCCAGTAACCGTCAATTTGACTGCTGCCATTTTGGCCATTGAATGCAGGCTGATGATGACATTGTAGAGCAAAACGGTTCAAGCACACAAACTCTTTATGGATGTGTGAACCTAATAATATGGCAAGAACATATCTTTTTGACCCAAACATTGAAAAGAAGTCTCTCTATTGTTCATTGGGTGGCCGACACGGCTCCTTTCCGCGGGTGGGGGCGGGGCGCCGCCAATCGCTTCCCTTGTTACTGTCAGAGTCTCTGCCGCTTCCTACTGACCAGTTTTTATCAGTTTTGCCGCCTCTGCCTGAAGCAGCTTCATTTCTAATACATATTTTACTGAGAACAATCTTCTAAAAGCCGTTTTAGCAGCTATTTCACACGGAGTTGGAACTGAGAGTGAGCGCGCTGAAAGTTGGTTGCTTAGCAACGGTGATGCTGTCCATCGGAAAGCTTTACCATGGAAACAATAGAGCCGTCAGACTGACGGCTTGTGGGAGACAAAGACAAAAACAGCTATATTTCTTTTTTGACACATTATTTTGTGGAAATTATTGCCCAAAAGTAAAGGACACATAAATAAGAAAAGCCAGGACAGCATGAGATCATCTAGCTGAAGTTATTACGTATCAAAATATGAAAACAGTCAAAATGACTGCCTTGGGAGTGCTAGTGTGAAGAAAAAATGTGTTACGCTAATTTGTTCTCCTAATTTGCCGACGTAGCTTTAACCCAGCAGAAGAAGCAGCATATAAACACGAAAGGAGCACGGAGGTGGCAGAGGAAATGGTCAAAGGGCCGGCTGTCAGCAGAAAAAGATGAGAAAAAAAAACGAAGCCTTCATAATCTCTGGATTAGATTTGAAAACAGTCACAAATGAGGAAAACCCTAGCTGCTGGTGAAGAAGCTGCTTGGTGGAGCTAATTTGCAAAAATATTTTTTTACTTCAGTCCAGCATAAAATGAAACTGTATAGTTGAGAAACACTGTCCTAGCTTCAGTTGCAGTCTTCCTTCTCTGTTTTTTCTCTATGGCACCCCACTGTTGATGGACAGGGCTGGTACTGCAGTGCTCTCAGTCATCCCAAGTGTTGATCCACAGGCAATTTAGAGAAATCCAAGAGGTTTGGTGCACTAGCCAGATTTCCATAATAGTCTGTGGCAGTCATGAAGCAGCAGCCAATCAGCTGTCTTTTTAGCAATGAGTCTGTGCAGCACTGATAAACTGTTCTGAGCTGTGTGATTTGCAATATGTGTAATAATAAAAAGCTCATTAAGGAAAAGACCATAGCAGGAGGTTTCAAAATCCAGCTCCATTTTATCACCCGCTGTCAAGAGGCAAGAGGAGGGTGGCAATGATTGTGTGTGTGTGTGTGTGTGTGTGTGTGTGTGTATGTGTCTGCGCGCGCGCTTGTTAGTGAAGTTAAAGTAAAAAAACTTTCAGAAAGTTGTCACTGAATGAACATAAAATGGTTAGATTTTTGGACTGAACCCAATTAAAGATGGCCGCCATGGTTGATCAATGGAGACAAAGGTCTACAAGTCAGTCAGGTTTACTGATCTTGCTCCTGCTGTGATTGTTGTGGAGAGTCCTTTTCTAGATTTGACTACAACAGCGGTAGCTTTTATTCTGAAATGTTGACATAAAGGAGGTGGGTGTAATGTTAATCAATGATTTTGCTGTTAGCTACATGTAGTAATTGAACAGATTGTTAGAAAAGGGGTGGGATTAAATAAGTTTAGGCTTCTTCCTGCTCCTGTTCTCTTTTTAAAATATTTCTTTAGTTTTCAGTTGTAGTATTTGTTATTATCTAAAATCTCCTTAAAAAAAACAAACAAAAAAAAACAATACAGACGAATCTTGAAACGCCGTAAACGTCCCTCACCCCCACAGAAGAGTTAGACATCACGCCGATGCTTCCAGCAAACAAACCGGCTCCCACATTAAAAGTGGATTCTTTGTGCAAAAATGTTTGTGTTGCTTCACAAAAACATTTGTTGCATTTTTGGATGAATTTAGTGCCGACACAACAGCTGAATGATGGGATGTGGATTAGATTGTAAAGAAAAATCTGACTTTTTTCATTTTTGTGTGGAAAACGTATGCGATAATGTGGCTTTATACGGAAACAACATTAACACAGATCTAGATACACACAAACACACACACACACACACACACACACAGATCTATTGAGACTTCTTCCTCCCCGTACTCTTTCTCCTTTAATTTACTTTTGTTTCCCTATTTTTTTTTACCGGTAAACTGTATGTGTGACTAGATCTGAGTGTGTGTGTGAGTGTGTGTAACTAGAGTTCTCTCTCTCTCTCTCTCTCTTTCTCACACACACACATTTTTGTGTGTAACTTCAGCTCCTACACATACAAATCACTGAACACACATGTAAACCACCTGGTGCACACGGACAAAACTACATTACACACAGATCAGTTTACACGTAAAATAAATATTTTTTGACACTCTTTTTTTCACCTGACAGATTTGTGTACTTGGTGCATTAAAGTTGGGTGAAAGCTGGGAAATCTGAATTTTTGGTCTAAACGTGTGTTTAAGGGGACGAGAACATCCCAGCATCCTGTAGTTCTAAGAGGCGAACCCAAATGTACTTTTTACTATTCTAATTAATTTATTTAGACATATATGTGTTTATGAGGCATGAAAACGTGGTCAAATAGTTATAAGAAGTGTGTGTGCGTGTGTGTGTGTGTGTGTGTGTGTGTGTGCGTGCGTGCGTGCGTGTGTGCGTGCGTGCGTGTGTGTGTGTGTGTGTGTTCAATGATTTGATTGTGCAGAAAAACACAAGTTACAAATCAAGGGTTACACTTGCATAGATCTAGCTACACACACACACACACACACACACACACACGCACGCACGCACGCACGCACACACACACACACACATGCACAAATCTTTGGAGACATCTTTCTCCCCATAAAAGACAAAGAAGAAAACTAAAGGAAAGAAGAATGTGAGGAAAGAAACGGGGAGGTTTTAAATAAAACAACTGCATGTTTTTGTAGAACAACACTCGTCACTCCATGCATGTACTCCACTAACAAATACCAACAGGTATAATTAGTCTACCTGTTGTACTGACGTCAGATCTAGTTAATGGAGCTTGAAAAGAGAGTCTGCACAGAAATGACTTGCTCTTCACCACCCAGACTAACTGTGTCCTCCATCTGCACAGAGGGACCAAAGGGAAGGACATCAACACCATCAAGTCCCTCCGGGTCCTCCGAGTCCTACGGCCGCTCAAGACTATTAAACGGCTGCCAAAGCTGAAGGTAAACCAGTCTGCTGCTTGTCCACCCTCGAGAGTGTTCTAGAAAAACCACATGAATAATATAAGTGAAGCGCACGGTCACGCAGCACGGTGCGGTGGATGTATTCACAGGAAGAGACGGCCTGTGGCTCTAGATGAGTACATTTAAAGGTGTGGTTCACTCATTTAATCGATACATCTGAAGTGGTCTCTAGTAGGAATGAATGCCTCGTAGGTCGTACTCTGGGGGGAAAAAGATCTCGGCCTGTTTCAGGACGTAGAATTGAGCTGGAGGAGAAAGTAGCTTCAAACGACAGGATTTGAGTCGTATTTACTGATATTTAGACATCACTCTTCTGATTGGCTAGTAGCAACATGACTCGACTTTTTAAAATGTATTTTTGAAACAAACTTTGTCTTCTATTTAATAAAAATGTTTGGTTTACTATCACTCATCCTACTCTTGTCATCTAAATAAATTCACATCTGATCAGTAGAATTGAATTATTTCATTAATGTAGTACCAATGCGGTGACGCTCCTTCGATGCGCACCTCCTCTTCAGCGATGAGCTGCTCCTTCTGACGCGCACTGCCTCGCTGACGCACGCCGCTCATCCAGCAATGAGGCCGCTCAGCGGATCCAACGCAGAAGTGTCCCGCCCCAATGACGGGATGCCCGCCGCCCCTCTGACGAGCGGTGCTCCGCTGCGAGTTTCTCTTTCTGCCGCGCACCGCCGCTCCAGCGATGAGGTTGCACAGCTGATCCAGCGAAGAAGTCACCTGCCTCAGTGACAGGACGCCCGCCGCTGTCTGCTGATGTGCTGCTCGTTCTGCGATGAGCGAAGGACAACCAGATCCCACGCAGAAACGCCTTCTGTCCCAATGACAGCTCGACGCTCCGTGCTTCTTCCAGACACGTCGTCGAAGCGCGCTGCTCCTCCAGCGATCAGAAAACAGCTGATCCAATTACCCCTCTGCTGCCTTTTTTGCAGAGGACGCCAACATTTCTTGGCTGACGATGCAGTTTTTTACCTTGAATGTGATACCAATGCCCTATACACTGGCACTACTGGTTACCGAGGCGGTTGGTGGTCTTTACGTGCGTTTAAAAGAATTGCAGCTTGTGTTTATTTCTGATGATGTTCATTTGTTTGTCTTCTTCCACAGTCATGATCCATTCACTGCAGTTAAAGTGGTTTTAAATGAATGCGGTACTCGCCCCAACGACAGTCCGCAGAGTTCGTTACACACAGCCACCGTCCTCGCCACACAAAGACAACCTGCTTGTCCCGTCACAGCCACACCGAGTCTAATCTGCGTTGGCTTAAGTAGGCTGGTGCTTCCACAATCAGTTTACCAATCAAACGAGGCCAAGCCTCCTCTCATGTATGCAGAAAGAAAATGAAAACAACACATTTGGCTCCTACAATTAATGTGTTCTGTAGTAAGCTACGGGAATTTCTACTAACATTTAATTTCCACTAGTAACGATGTAATGGTGGCACGTATATTTTATTATGTACAGGTTGGCAACATAATGCATTCTTACTTGTATTCAAATATAGAAGTGTTTGCAAATTACATGCTACAATGGCTTGTCATAGATCTGCTGCGGCGCGTGAAATAGACTCGCACCGCTGACTCAGTAGCAACAACCTGACTCCCCTGGGTGCCTCCAGAAAGTTTTTAATAAGTGTGGCCATACGGGGCCAAAAGACCTTTGGGTGGCACATCAGATTGGTCAGGGGTGGACTGGACTATCTGGCATTCTGGCGCTGTCCCGGTGGGCCGCTAAGCCAAGTGGGCTGCCTGCCCAGCTCGGGCCGACACTACTCCACAGTTGGTGATCTGCAGAATATTAGCTACATGCTAACCCGAAGCTAACAGAGTTTTTCCAGGAGATTTTAGCAAGAAAAACGCGGTAGAGCGATGACGTAGGAGTTGTTTTACCACGTTAGCATGTAGCTAATGTCCCGCTGATCTCCGCCCGTGGAGAATGAGCTGATCTGGAAGGCCAGGGCTCCCTGTCGCAGCGGTCTGGCCCTGCTTGTAATTTAACAGTCCCAGTCCATAT